GCAGAAAATACGACCTGGGGAAACCTTTTATACAGGCAACACAGATAGACAGTGAACATCTACTGTTTCGCATCAGTTAACCGTTCACTTATTAATGGGCGATAAAAAACGATTTATACATTAAAAGGTCCCATATTATGCTTTTTCTGGTTTTATATGCTCTTTAGTGTGTTTTCCACGTGTCCTGTGCATGTTTAGGCACATCTATTTGCAAAAATAAGTCCGCAAAAACGCGGCTTCTCCTACGTCCTCCTGTTAGCTGTAGCATTAAGCTGCATGTAACGTTCGGTTGTAGCCCCCCTCGATAAAAATTTGTCAGTCCGACGTAATTGTCAGTGTGATATCACTGATCTAAGCCCATTGGCTCATTGTGGCAAGCCCAGCAGCTCATGTTGCACGCCCGTTCACTTCTGTAGCACGCCCACGATATGCTGTAGCCTGCGGTAGGACAGTAGTGCTAAGGTGCTCATGTTTTTGCTCCCCTCGGACGGAGCCAGTGGCTGCATTCCCAATATGGTAAAAGAGGCGGGAAATTTTCGAGAACCGTGCTGAGCAACTGACCAATTACGGCAGAGCAGACAGGCCGACCAATCAGATCAGACTTGGCAGTACATGAAAACAGACACTTTTTTCGAACTTTAGCTATTGTGAACATACTTAGTAGTAGGTACATAGATTAAATATACAAACCCCAAAAAGGGCACAATATGGGATCTTTAAAGTTACATATAGCCCCTTTAATGTGATGTCCACCTTTTAATTTAATTGCTTTAACTATTTTAGTTGGATGTGTTTATATCTGTTTTATTAGACTTCAATTGTTTTTCTTTGTGCCTCCTCTACCATCTTTACCTTTGATCATCTGTCTGTCTCCTCTCTGCTGTATTTTTTTGTACATATTTTGCCCTCTTGATTTAACTCCTTACTGACTATTAATTGTCATGTTGTGTCTGTGTAATGTCTGGATATCTGCTGTGTTGCCTTTGGAGTTTCCTGTTTTTGCTTTGATTGTCAAACATTTTGTAAACTCATTTTCAAAGGTGCTATGAAAGCAGAAGTGAAAGTTTTATCTCAGATGTATATCATATAGTACACTATTCATTGCATTACTTTGAAATTCAATGATCCTCTTTCAAGACGTGTAAGGTAAAATTTTAAAGCATACCCTGTGGTTGGGAAAGCTGCATAAATCATCCAACTACTTTTTTAATGCTCATTGCACAGGGATTAAAAACTAATCAATTATACTAATCCTCACATGGAAGTACCATCCATTTCACTGCTGCAGCCTTAAATCATGGTCAATTATTATTCCTATTTCAATGTGCAAGGATGCAACAGTCGTCATGCAATCAAGTTCAGTATGGCGGCTTATGACAGGAAAATTATTTGCAGCCTATAATTGTGTTTGGGAGGGAAACAACTTTTCTATGATTCATTAAGATTGAGACAGGCTGCTTTACGAGGTCTGAGAGAGGCATGAAATGAGAGTTGCCATAGCAACGGCACAGTAATTGAGAAGGCCAGTGTGAGAGAAAAGCGGGAAATTAATGGGAGTTAAAAACACTGGTGTACAATTTTTGCCAAAAATTGCATCTCTAAATATGACACTCTATTAAGAACCAGTCTATAAAAAGTATTTAAGTAAAAAAAAACAGCAGATTCTGCTGTTTTGTTCGTGGTTTATTCAGAGGATTAAGCTTCCATTGAAATCTTTAAGCCACATAAACAGGCACTGTGTGTAGGTAATATATGGGATACCTGCCTTAAAAATGCTGTAAACACACAGAACAACATGGGCAGAGTCGGTTGGTGGGGGATTGTATTCTAGCTCTAGTTATTGATCTTTACAGGGTAGGCTTGATATTAATCGCTTTGAAGCAAGTGTCTATTCAGGCACACAGACACAGTTTTGCTCCGTGTGTAAAAAAAAAACTTCAAACACATAAACATAAAGCAGTGTCTGAAAAAACAACTTTTCAGTACAGCTAAACCATCTCCATGACGATTGTTTCTTAGGATGATGTGGAAACAACCCCTTTAATCAGACATAATAAAAAACCCTGCAACTTCTTTTTCTCATTTATTTTTCACGGGGATAGGTGTAGAAAAGTAGTGAGATTTTTGTCTGTTTTTTCTCAATAACCTTTAAATAGTTTATCTATCATTATGGATGTCTTCCTGTCGAGTGGTGTGACTTGCAGAAGGTAGGAGCGGCTCCTCTGTTGGCCAACACTTTAAAGTGTTTAAAAATGACTATATCCTCATTGCTCTGTATTTTTAGAACCGATGATGAACAGCAGTTTTCATGCTTGACAACAGTGTTGTCTTGCTGTTGCTGCACGAAGAATCAGGTGTAAAAGTGTGTTGTATGTTGAAGTTTAAACTCTTCAATCAGAATAAAAAAAGAATATTTAAACATGAGACAAGCTACAAATATTGTGTATTAGTATGACATCATCATATAGACTTCCTCTTAGCACCCCCCAACTGAACTGACCCTAAGCACCCATGATGATAAACTAAGAAACAAAAATGGTGGACCTTGTTTTTAGAAATGTCTTGTTGTATTAAATGTATCTTAAGCATTGACCCTGTCATTCAAGATAAGTTGTGTTTAATGTTTGCAGTACTATGACTAAGGGCTTTTTAAAATACGTGTCAATTTGATGGGCAAAACTGTCAAACTAATGGCTGTTTTAGAGCTATTATTACTCATTAGCCTCTGTCTTTGTTTGTTTGACTCCATGAGATTCAGAGTCAAGAGGAGAGGAGCGACTGTGACCCCGATCAATAACAGTTGACTGCAGGCTCAGACCAGACCAGTGCCCTCATCACACAGCATTGATTTAGACACAGCTTAGGGATACCATTCATCATTATGGATGTCCTGTGTTATTACCAAAGGTGCACTCTGTGAAAAATATGTAAACAAAAAGGTCAACCCACCAGGTGAAAATAAAATGTTACAAAAAACTGAAACCTTATCAAAGTGACATTAGATAAGAACTCAATTTAGCATCATAATGAGTCATAAAGTTGAACCCTTTTCACACATACGGAAATCTCCTGAAAAACTCTACCTGGAGGTTCTTTAGGCTATGTGTGAACGCAAACAGACACATTTTTCGCGCAGACTTTACCCAGAGTTTCTCCTCCAGACCCCTAGTATTTTATCTGCAGAAAGTCCGAGTGAGCTGACGTCTGACATGGCAGCATATACTCTGGAGATTTCAACTCAACCAATCGAAAGAGAGTGACGTTTAGATACAGTGACTGCCTAAAGTGTCTGCACGCTACCACTACGATCTCCGTGCACGTAATTAAGCTGCTGCATTCTGTTTTCTGTTTGTCAGTATGTTTTTCTCCTCTTTTGTGGATGTTGTCATTTCATTGGATTACACATAGCATTGATATAAAGGCAAATATTCTCATTATAATTTTGTGTAGCTACGGCCGCTACTTCCGCGTTGTTTATTTACGTTATGTCTTACCTCAGGAAATCCCCCCCCCGACAGGGAAAGTCCCCCGCTGTGAGGAGCATATGTAAACGGCTAGTTCGGGAGAATCTATAGATTCACTTTGGTGAGTCCAAATTGCTTAAGAAAAATATTGGATAGTTACGTTTTTTTTTTGTATTTTCAAAGTTTTTACCGAGTTTTAATCTTCTTTTTTTTTCCTGGCAGAAATAGACTTCCATACTAAGGTAACAGTAAATGGCTGGCATCCACAAAAGGTGTGACAAGATGCAGTCGATTGTAAAATGAATGTGTCAACTTTCAGAGAGCTACATCTGTATGGGCTTTTTTTATACTTTAAAAGCAGTGAGAGTATTTATCTTTGTTGTTTTCATTACCCATTAATGTGAGGGGACTTGAGCGGGAGGTAGAAACCCTGCAGTCTTCTCAAAACACTAGTATTAGAAGTTAGCAGGCGATAGAAGGATGACAAACCTTATATTTGACTCTGGGTGGCAGTCAGCGCTTCAAGAGAGCACCAGTATGACAGATTATCTTTTTCACAAGTGAGCCATTTCTTACAAACCATTTACCACATCAGTATCATTAAGGCTGTGAGACCCCAAGTTATGTACTGGACAGAACTCGCAAATCTTCTTTGTTGCTAGAGGTGACAGATGATTGTACAGCAGCAGATAAAGAAACAGCATGTGATGGCCTGCCAGAACAACCCCCTCCCCACCGGATTGTTGATGGACAGCTTGCCTCCCCCCACCCCCTTGCTCCCTATCCCTCTTCCTGCATCTTATCCCATCTCTCCCCCTATCCCTTTCCAAGCCCGGCGCAGTCTAGGCCTGTGAAGGCTGTATCATCATGAGCCGGGGATCCGGCCGAAGATTTCTGCCTTTTAATAAGGCAGTTTTTTCTTACCACTGTCTTTTTACCTGCTCTTTTGTAATGTTAACAGACAAAGAGTAAGGTATTTTACCTGCTTTTTGTAAAGTGTCTCGAGATAACACTTGTTATGAGTTGACGGTATACAAATAAAAATTGATTGATTGATTGATTGATTGTGTGTGTGTGTGTGGTTGTGGGGGGTGGGGGCTTTTTTCTGTATTTGAGGGAATTAGGGGCAAAACAAGGTGTTGGAGTGTGATCAATGTGCTCAGCGGCTGATGTTGAGCTGTCAAAACTCAACAGGAAACGCTAACAGTAGCTTTATTTCCACTCTAATTCATTAGATTTTGTATTTCTGCTAAACTTAATTAATACACAGATGAATTATGTAACACTCTGAGAAACCATGAATATGGTACTTTGGGTTAATTGTGCTTCAGGTATGTTTAGGAGAGTCCTCTGGCAAGAAAAGTGATAAATTAAAAGTGAAAAAAGGAGAGAAAATAAAAACTTTCTTAAGCTAAACACTACTGTTCATGCTTCTACAGAGTAAGTGCATTCAGTAAAGATGACCTCATATAGCTTGATGTTTACTTGTAAAATGGTATTTAGACTAAAAGTGCATCATTATAGATGACAAATACATCGAAGGACTGTTTTTATTTACATCATTTCAACCACAAATAAATTAACCATGAGGGGGAAAAAAGCTTTCAGTCAATGCCAGCCACACGGATGTATAACCCCTTGCTCTACCATCATCTGCTGTCGTCATTCAGAGCACAAACTCCAGGATGAAAGCATGTCTCCTGCTGAATTGCAAACAGCAGCAGAAGAGATTAAAGAGTGTTTTTGAACACAGAGGGTCTAACGGGACATAAACAGAAGAATAAACTGAGGGGTGAGCTGTATCACGCTAGTATCATTAAGGCTGTGATACCCCAAGAGACTGTCTGGTAGAGTAGGCACACACAGAGCTGAACAGACATAACAAAGCTCGCAACAGGGGCAGCTCTCGGTACAGTTAAAAGGCACACAGCATACATTATGATTACAGTTTGTGTTCACAAACAGAATTCACTTTGGGATTATTAAGAACATCTGCAGCACATCTGCAGCACATTAGCTGAACAAAGTCCTCTGAGTGTCTCGAAGAGTTGCCAAATCTACATCAAGCAAGACTTTAAACATGTTTTGTGTTAGCCTATGATACCTCTCCATGTCCACCAGGGGGCTCAACCTCATCCTGCTCCTCTCCATGTCCTCCTGCCACATCTCTCTGACCTTCTGTAACCCCCCTAAAGAACCTGGATCAGGGCTGTCCTCCTTTCCAAAGCTCTTCTTCTCCTCCTCTTCACAAAGTAGTGATGACACACTCTCTCTGAGAGACATCACTTCTTTTTCCAGGGCCAAGGAAAATATCTGAGCTGCTTCTTGTCCTCTTGTTCCTTTGACGGGCTGGACTGAGCAAGAGTCAGGGAGGTAAGCCAAGAGGGAGTCCAAGAACTGGAGCATCTGTAACTGACTGCAGAAAAATATAATATAAGAGAGCAAAAAATGTATACGTTATTTTTTTAATAAATTAAAATATGATGGTTGACATCTCCTGGTGTTTTTTTTTTCATCATTTCAGTAACTTGTGTTTGTTGTGTCTGTTTCTCGCCCACCAACCTGTTCAGACTCAATATTACGGTCATTTTAAGCGTTCAGCTTGCCAGAAATACCTCATCACTTTGATATTCAGTGGAATAACACTCTGACGTGCATCCTAGTCAACTTCAAAGCCTTGTCAACTTGGAATCCATTAATAATAATTGAACAGTACCCACTTCTACTTGCCAAGCGACCTACCTTAGCTCCTTTAGAATAAATTACAATTATTCAAGACAGCAGCTGGTAATAGAACTTGAACTAATACAAGGAGCCGGGATATCGTCGATTCTAAAGGAAAGAAATCCTCAATTTACCACATTTTCTGTTTTACAGAGTTTGAAAATGAAAACCAAATCATCTCTTCACAAATCAAGATAAAAAAGCCGTTCGGACAATTGAATACAAAAGGTCAAATTAAGTGTTATCAAAAGGCTCTAGTGATGGTGGAGATCATTGTATTTCGAGTGGTTCACTCTTTTGTTTGTTTTTGTGCATGGAATAGACAATCCTACTTATAACATGTTATATATCCAAAAACAAAAAGTAATTCCCACACACGCATGGAAAAAGGGCTGGCAGTGAGACCATGACAACCATGAATTAAATGTATTTTTAAGACATTAAAGACACACATTATCCATTGTGTTAAGTCCCAATTAAAGTTAAAATAAATTGTTTAGAAAAAGGACAAATCCATAGAACCCTGAAGACAAAAATACATCCTTTTACTGTACCAACTGAGCCCTGAACAGAATCTAAACCATTCAGACCGCTAACTGTGAAGTCAGTTACACTGCTGGTATCTGTAAATAAAAATTATTTACCTGGAGTGGACAGACAGCTCCCCTTGGAAAGGGGTTATCTGATGCCAGTGCAGCAGCATGGGAGAACATGTTACTGCAGAATTCAACAGTAGATATTGAGGGTTCACCTCTATCCTTTTACAATCCTCTCTCCTCTGAATCCAGCCTTCAATATCACTTAGGCTGTAATCTAGAGAGTCTATGTCGAAGACCCAGCGATCCAGCACTGCCATCAGACTCAGCGAGTCCTCCAGAACCTCATCTGTGCAGAAAAAAGAGACAACAGTGAAAATCCAATGGTCCAAATTAGGAAATCAAGTTGTAGACATTTGTGATTTTACCCGTTTTGAGTTCAGGATTTTGCAACAATCGTGTTTGAAAATCATTGCATACGCTCAAAGCAACATCACCACAATGCAGGACAGACGGTGTTTGGTTGCTCACAAGGGCAAAAGCATCTCGTCTCTGGACGTAATGGAGCATGACGCGACACTTGACACAGCCAGAGTTCAACAAAGGTGTCAGTGTGGTCACAGCAGTCACAGCCAGTCTGCAAGTGTTGAGATCATTGGATCTGTTGGAACTGTGCTGCCTGCTTTTTTTTGCTGCAGGCTCTGGGAACGTGGAGACAGAAGAGGAGGAGGATGAAGAGCTGGGAGAAGGGAGCCAGAAGACTTGGCTCTGGGTCTTGATGACTGCAGGCGCTGAGCTCTGGTCTGTCTCTGTCAGGACGGATAAGCTCATACTGGCCAATGGTCTGGAACAAAAATAACACATCACTTGAAATCAGATATCAAATGAAATGCAGGTAACCAGACCAGAAATCAAAGAAAACAGGTACAAAAATGCAGTTTGTTTTGTAATATAGATGTCAAACAAAACCAATGTGTCCAGCCGGTGAGGTGTTGTACAAGTGCACCAATTAAATAAACGGCTTTGTTAGTTAAACCTCCATATAATATCAAAGCAAAAACAGGGACACGTAGAAGGAGTAGTCCAATGGCCTCTTGTTTCAATAAAAAGGAATTGTGGATTAATTGCTGATATACAAAGTTATACTTCTCTGAAATCATGCAAACAAATCTCCAATTTCTGAGGAAAGTAGATTTTTTAACCTCCGGCCATGATCTAGCCACCTCAACAATTGGCCCCATCATGTTTCGGTTCTGACAAACCTAAACAGGCAGCAATGATATAGTTGGAGCAGCTACACAGTTGGGAAAAAAATGTTTTATGTAAAAATCGAGATTCTTATCTTCTGAGATTATGAATCGATTCATAACTTCCAAAAATGGCTGTTCAGACACTCCCTTCTAAGTGCTAAGGCTAGCTCTTTAACTCAGTAGAAGGCCAAATGGAGCAGCAAGAAATTCAGCCAGATGAATGGAGTAGATCCTGAAGTATGTACTAATTCAAAAATAGACTTGAATTCATGGATCCATGAATCCAGAATTGTTTTGAATGGAAAATAGATCTGAATTGAATCGTGACCCCAAGAATAGAAATTGAATCGTGAGACACCCAACGATTCCCAGCCCTACTAGATATAACGATCAAGTGCTGCATTACTGCACAGACCTGGATCCACTCGACTGGATCAATTAATTTCAAAAGACTCAGAAACAAGCTTTTAGATAGAGATGAGCAATGCCTCGATTCAAATACAGAAAAATAAAATCAATCAAAATGCAAATTCTTGTTTACACAGAGCTGTCAGTGGTTAGTATCACTCCCACAACCAGTCGATCCTCAGCGATGCGATGCCACAGCTTGTCAACTTGAGGTTTTGAAGACACTGCTGGCGTGTCTCGTTTCTTGTCATCCAAGCCTTCATCCTTAGGCTCATCGTCACAGTCCCACAGAGCAACAAGGCCTTCCTGGACAGGGAGCGCAACCACTATAATCAGCAATGACAAGTGTGTGACAGCATTGACAGCAATAGCAGTTTGCATCAGGCATTTCAATTTGAACAACAGCCCATTAGGTGCCCATGTAGTGGACTTTCTTAAAGGCTATTAGAGAACAGGGAGTGTGCAGTGTCACTTTCTGACAAAACACAGTACAATCATTGAGGCCAGCATTTAGATTGTGAGGCATTTAAGGTTAGCAACAAAACAGCAACTAATGCATTGAAAACATAGGAAATGATAATATAAGCAAAACTTTAAAAGTAAGAGGAATTACCGTAAAATCCGGAATATAAGTCACACCGGTATATGAGACGCACCCTATTTTGAAGGTCTCTTAAAGAGGAAAAAAAGTTTAAACTATTTTCCTGCGTGACGATTTATATTGTGTTAAGCGATGTCTACAACGTGCAGTTTCTGTGCAGCTGTGTCGTTCTTTTAGTTCCGTCTGTTTTCATGTTCGGGAGTTTGCGCTCCTACTAGCTACAGTACGGTAGTTGAGCTCTCAGCCTGCAGGGAAAGTTGTGACTTGTGAGGCACGGACTCCTAGCTTGTGAGTCGTTCTGCCCGACTCCGCTTGTCACTCTTTAACTTTAATATAGGACTCTTTCAATCAAAAGAACACTCCACAAGGTTTATTTATGGAACAATATACCACTGTTTCTGTAAATGCACGATTATGACCTCGTGAGGGAGAAAAGATGTGGAGAAAGTCGTGCAGCCAGCCCAAGACTGTATGTCTGCAGCCTGGTCTGTGTTGCCGTCTTTCCCAGCATAGCGTGTACTCAGCTTTCAATACACAATGAATGGAGATGGGTTTTTAATCACTTCAGGTCGCAGTGATAGGGCTGCAATGACGGCGCGTGTTTCAGTATTTTATACTGGTGTATTGGTCGCACCGGTGTATAAGACGCAGCCAACTTTTGAAGGTCCCATATTATGCTTTTTCTGGTTTTATATGCTCTTTAGTGTACATGTCCATGTGTCCTGTGCATGTTTAGGCACATCTATTTGCAAAAATTTAAAGTCCTTCTCCTAGGCTTCTCCTACGTCCTCCTGTTAGCTGCATGTAACGCTCGGTTTTAGCCCCCCTCAAAAAAGCCCATTGGCTCGTTGTGGCAAGCCCAGCAGCTCATGTTGCAGGCCCATTAACTTCTGTAGCACGCCCACAATATCACGTAGCCTGCGTTAGCACAGTAGTGGTAAGGTGCTAATGTTTTGTCCCCTCGGAGCCAAAGTGGCTGCATTCCCAATATGGTAAAAGGGGCGGGAAATTTCCGAGAACCGTGCTGAGCGACTGACCAATTATGGCAGAGCCGACAAGCCGACCAATCAGATCAGACTTGGCACACGTGGGGACTCTGAACGTGGGCACTTCAGAGCCTTAGAGAGAGAGTCAGAAGCGAGCCGGTGCATGGAGCGGCAGTACATGAAAACAGACACTTTTTTCGAACTTTAGCTATTGTGAACATACTTTATCTCTTTGAAGATATACCTTCCTTTGAGACCTGAGGACCCTAGGAGCCTAGCTGCTGTCAGAAACTGCCTAAACGATATCAACTGCTGGATGGCGCAAAACTTTCTCCAACTGAACAATTCTAAATCTGAAATCATAGTATTCAACCCGCCAAACACCACTCATATCTCAAAGAGCAGCCTCGGTCCCTTATTCACCAATGTCCAACCCACCGCCAGAAATCTAGGAGTAACATTCGATTGCAATCTCACCTTTGAATCCCATATCAAAACAGTTGTCCGATCAAGCTTCTTCCATCTACGCACCATCTCCAAAATTAAAACAATCCTAACCCAACGAGACCTTGAAAAGATCATCCACGCCCTCATCTTCTCCCGACTTGACTACTGTAACTCCCTCTTTTCCGGAATCACAAATAAGTCACTGTCTCGCCTCCAGCTGGTCCAAAATGCAGCAGCTAGGCTTCTTACTGGTTGTAACAGACGACATCACATCACTCCAATTTTAGCTTCATTACACTGGCTTCCTGTACGTTCTAGAATCGATTTTAAGATTTTACTCATTACTTTTAAAGCACGGACGGGGCTGGCTCCATGCTATATAACAGAGTTACTGACACCATATGAGCCAGCCCGCAGTCTTAGATCCTCGGGTGGGAGCCTCCTGGTCGTTCCAAAGTCGAGACTTAAAACTAAAGGTGACCGGGCCTTTTCAGTCAGGGCCCCTCGACTTTGGAATGACCTCCCTGAGGAGATAAGACTCGCAGACTCCCTCAATTCTTTTAAATCCCTTCTTAAAACATACTTTTACAGACTTGCTTTTATGTGATGTCGTCTTCTTAATGTCTTCTCTTACTGGTTTTACTATTTTTATCTTCTTCTACTTCTTACTGTCTTTTATTTATGGTCTTATCTCGTATTTATGCTCATATCTTAATCGTATTTATAGTTCATTTTTATTTTTATTAATATTATAGTTTTGGGTTTTTTGATCCTTTAACCACTTGTTTTTATTTCTTTTACTGCGCTTACCTTCTCATTGCTTTTTATTTGCTTTTATCTCTTAGTTTCTTACATCTTTTTAAATCTTTGGTCCTCTTGGTCTCAGCTCATGTTGTTGGGTTCTTGTGTTCCTGGGTTCTTATGATGGTTCTTATGATGGTTGGGTTATATATGTCTGGTTGTGTATCGTGCACTTTGGGTTCTTTTCTGTTGAATTATTTTTAATTATTTTTGGTATTTTGCATCTGTTATATTCTTACTGTTGTTAATGTTTTTCTGTGTTTGGTTTAGTTTGCTTTGTTCTTGCTGTTTGTCAAAGCACTTTGTAAACCTGTGTTTTTAAAAGGTGCTATATAAATAAAGTTATTATTATTATTATTTAGTAGGTACATAGATTAAATATACGAACCCCAAAAAGGGAATAATATGGGCTCTTTAAGACAAAAAAATAGGTATTAAAAGTGCGTCTTATACACCAGATTTTTTGGTACGTGTTTTTCAGTGCAGGCATTTGGTCTTGTTTTCTCTATTCCAGCCTCATGAAAAATGCTGACTGCCTCAGCCTCATGGGGGATGCCTTTTTAAATATGACTGCTTATCAACATGAAGTGTTGGAATGAAAACCTAAACTGAGGGGAAGGAAGGTGGGAATAAGGATTTATTTCCTTTATTGATACCGAGGACACCGAGCTTAAGGGAGCCAGGAATTGTGAGATAGTCATAGGCATGACATGCAGCAAAGGGCAGGGGCTGGAATCAAACAGATGCTACTGCGGCGAGGACTTAGCTCCTACATGGGGTGCATGCTCTACCAGGTAAGCTACAAGGGCTCACCAAGGGAAAAAATGTTTTCCTGTATAATAAATAGGAAATGGGCCTATTCAGATGTGTTTATGTTCTGTAATTTGCAGTGATGTGAAATCACTCCTTGGGTTGATTTTGAAAAAGTGTCATGCAGTGTATCCATCTCGAGTGATAAGGAAATTAATACATAGTTTAATGTTTAATGCACTGTTTTTAAACACTTTTGCTGGGTAGATGGAGGTCAAAATTATTGTTGACAAAATTTTAAAATTTTAAATATTAATTAAATAACTTGTGTTAGAAAGTAGCAGCAGCAGTATCTTCCTAAATCCAAATTCTGGGATTTTAGACTCCAAATGCAGAATGTTTCTTTTTATTCTGTTTTAATTATCTGTAAATATGTTTCCTTTAAAGTCTGTATCTGTCTATAATTCAAAATATCAGATATCCATTAAAGCTCTGTTTTTAAATAGAACTTTCAAATGACTCACTCAAAGAGCAATACAATTAAGAAAATAAAATTATCTTGAAAATAACAGAGCTAATACTGGAATCGTACTGTTGTGGTTATTATGTCATAGGAAGTCTTGTCCCAGCACTACAGCACAGGTTTATGTCTACTATACGCTCACCTAGCCTTCTAAAAAAACATGCTCAATAATGCAGTAGGGCAGGCTGTTTCTTGCAGAAACTAGACAGTTTTATATTTTTTAACATAAACAATACCTGCTCAGGTGTTGTGACTACAGGTTCTCCTTCTGCAACACCACCAGTGAGGACTCGGAGCGACTGCTGCAGCACCCTCTCCTTCACGCTGTCTTCTCTTTGAAGCTTCTGCAGCACTGTCAATCCACTCTGAATTTTTAAAACATGCAGGGTTTACAGCATATACTGAAAATTTAACATAGTCCCTGAGAAAGGTTGTAACACATGTAAAAGCAATCTGAAGTTCTTTGACTATTCTCATAATCATGACTCCACAAAAAACAGTAATGTTATTTCTGCCACTTTAAAATAAAGACGAACAACAAGTGTTCTAAAAGCTTTTAGTTACTCACCTGTAATCTAGACTCTAAAGCTTGAAGAGTGAGGAGATGGTTTTCTGGTGGAGGAGTTGTCCTCAGTGCTCTGTTTTCCTGGTTATTCTAAATCACAAGAACACACTGTCACAAATGAACGCTTCAGTGAAATAGCATAGCCAATGTGATGAAAAAATTATGCCTTACAGCAAATGAGATGCCACAAAGGTCAGTGAGGAGGAAATTTTCCAACGGGTGTCCTGATATGCCTTGGTCTTTAAAAACCAACAGCATCTGATCCGTTCCACATCCCACAAAGTCATCCACGTGGACAGAGCCGACACCAGACCAATGTGAGGCTATCTGGTAGGGAAGAACAGGGTAGGTTAACAAATGTACTTACAGTAAGCAATAAGAAATACAAACAGTGAATAAATATTGAAACCTGGTTTTTGCTTGCCTTAAATGTCTCCCTCCATACAGTGCATACGTGTCCCTGATGAAAGTATACAACAAACAGGAAGCCACATCTTCCCGTGTTGACCACCTGGATATTTTCTGGTTGATCAAAGGGAAGTTGGCATGTCTCTTTCACAATACCATTCTCAAAATAAACCAGCTGCTTATTAGAAGTTGCTGCGACCACATCAGATTTCAACACATTTTCCTCTTTTGCAGCTGACAGCACCAGGATGCACTGTGTGATGCACATGTATGGGTGAGGCAAAACCATAGTGCCATCAAACATGTGTCCGCTCTCTACAAAATAGCACAGGATTAGGCTTCTAGGCTGATTATTCAATAACTTTTCTGAAATGTTTTGCTGTCCGAGAATAAAAACCCTTTCTTTGTGTAGGGGGAGCTCTCCAAAAATACTGTGGGAAAACTTAATGGGTATCTGCCTCACTTCTCCAGCCTGTGGAGATGTATAGAATACATCATCATCGTGACTCCACAACACTGTTGGGCCATGAAGGATAGCCACGTTTTCCTTCATTTGATAAGGCAGTTTAAACTCAATGCAGGGCTCCAGGCGATTTGAGCTGCCTGATGTAAGTAGACTATAATGATAGCTATCTCCTTTCTTACTCGTCTTCGTCACTAAAATACACGGTGTTGTGACTCTTTCCCGAACATTTATTACGCATTTACATCCTACAATATCCACATGCGCTGGGGTTTTCCCTCTAATTACAGCCGCTCCGTCAGCTGCCTTCATGAACCTGTTGACATCCCGTTCAAATGAAAGGCAGCAGAATAACAACTCGCCTCTGTCTTCATTTGCGGCTGACGCTTGTTTACAGTTAAACAAGATTATCTTTCCATAGTGGGAAAGTCGATTGGGATTTCGATAAAAATCTCCCAGCAGCATCTCCATTTGGCACTAAAGAAACTTCGGGTTCCTACCAGATTCGATCCCTCCTTATTGGCAGCTCGAGAAAAGGATATTGCTAAGTACAGAGCCGTTACTTTCAGGTCAGACGTCTCAAACGGGTATATAAATAGTACAATTGTTGCTAAGCTGATAGAGAGCGAAATATAAAGAAATACATCCGTTTCCTACGTTTCTTATTGACTGTTGTACGCGCCATCTGAAATCGAACGCTTCCGGTTACTCGAAGTGCATTATGGGGGAAGTTGGTAAACAGTAGTGATTTGACGACATTAAGGGTAAGTGTTTAGCTAGCTGAACATATTTAGAAGGTCAAACTGTATGAATGATTAGATTCACGCTTTTTTAATGATATCGAATGCACTTAAACACTCCCTCCGCTCGTCCACAGCAAACAAACAACATAGCGGAGAGGTGTGGCCAAGGCAGGAGCCAAAATGGCAAGCACAGAACGTCAGTTGCACACTTTGCACTGATTCACCCAGCGTTAGCTACCTAACGTGCTAGCTGAACAAGGAACTACCACAGAGAAGGGAACTCGGGGACAGTTGAATATGGCTGAACTTGAGCAACACGAAGGAGAACAGGTATCGTGTTAGCACATTTGAATAACTTAAGGATTTAATCTGTCGGACATTTCTAACCCTAATCAACTTAATTGGCAGGACCTTGACAAGAAAATTGAGGAGACGAGACAGCGATTCAAGAATGAGTACCTCCAAGGTAAACAGAGTTATTAAGGATAAGCTGAGACTAATTTGCTCCTTGACCCTTCGCTTCTTTTGCATGGATTTAGACTAATTGTAGGCTAGCAGACGTTACTTAAATTCAAATATGAGTAGTGAACTGACGACTGTTTTACTGTTTATTTATCTCGTCAGTTTGATAATGTCACGACTTAACGAACGGCCTTGATAAGTTCTAACAGGTAAACTCGCTGGCGTGTCCTTTGTGTGGCCACATGAAGTAATTAAGATTAATACAGCCCAAAGGCATAACGGCCCACGGTCTGAAAGAGAACTAATTGAAGTTCACCGCTCAGTAGGGTTATTGTGGCTTTAACAGGATTTTACGTAGGGAAGTAAATATGGTTGAAAGTGACACATTGTGCTTAACTTCCTTTGAAGTTCATGTCATGTGATTCTACCTGTATTTTATGTTTACAGAGTCAGCAGAAAAATATGACTCCAGAGATGTGGACAGGCTTCAAAGCGACAATGTTCTGGTGGAGGGATACCTCACATGGAGAATTTATGTCGTTGATGATGCCTTGAAAATGATTGATGACAGTTTTCAATGGAGAAAAGAATTTGGTGTGAATGGTAAGAAGTCATGCAGAGTAATTTGTGATATTTTACATTTATATTACATCACCTGAAAAATGGACTGTGCCTAATTAATCATACAATTTCTATTCCGATACAATACCCTTAACATGTGTTTTTTCGGTTCCTTTCAATAAACAAAAGTGCCATGTTTTTGAAATTAAAGCTGTTTTCCAGCAGTGTTGCCTTGGCAAAATGATCTAAAATGGGCAGTATGTTGTTGTTAGGTCAAATCAGGAACTACATGATACCAGAGTAAGTAAACAAGATTATAAATCTGTCCTGAAAGGCCTTCAAAAAAGCTTTGCAGTTCAATAATGAGTCCTGCTTGAGAAGAAATGTTGACATCCCTATATTTAGATGTTTGCGAGCTTGCAACAGAGATCGACGGTTGACTTTGTGTTGCTCTGGGATGAATCCACACAGAGTGTCATTGTGTGTAAAAACACAGAATGCATAGGCTGCCCCTCAGAACAATCCCCACTGTATCTGTTTTCTGAAGGAATTTCCAAGAGATGTTATGTGGTCTCTCTTTAATCCCACAAATTAAATTTGTCAATACTTGTTATGAGGAAATTTGATTTATCAAGAGTCATTTGCATCTGGGAGTGTTAGCTTTTCCTATTACCCTTTTGAAAAGGGTTGATGACAAATGAGTTAGTTGTTATCAACTCAAGGAGTTTCAAGAATCTGAACTGGTCCTTTAAAACTTAAAGACATAAAAAGTGGTTGAGAGAATTGATTTGGAAACCCTGGAAAGAATGCTGTCAGGTCATGTTTCAGACAACAAGGCTGTTAAGTACACTTATATGTGGGCTCTGTGGAGAACAGAGATTCAAGAATACAGCTTTTCTGAGTTGATGAAAAATTTAAGATTACAAAAAAAAACTGAAGATGAATATACATTAATTATTGCTCTACTGTATTAAATTGATTTATTTAAATAGTCTTACTGTTTTCCAGAGCCGTCTTGTGTATGGCTTAAATTTGAAATATACTGAAGGGTTTAATTTGTTTTTACCTGCTTGTTTCAGATCTCAGTGAGAGCATCATTCCCAGATGGATGTTTGAGACTGGTGCTCTCTACCTCCATGGCTATGACAAAGAGGGCAACAAGCTCTGTATGTACTTTTTCTGTTGTAGACCATAGACCATTTTGCAACACACTTTCTATGGCTGACAAGATATGAAGTCCTCTGAATTTTTTTAACTCTGTTTACTTTGTGCAGTCTGGTTCAAGGTGAAGCTTCATGTCAAGGACACAAAAACAATCTTGGATAAGAAGAAGTATGTTGCCTTCTGGCTTGAGCGGTATGCAAAGAGAGAACCTGGGATGCCACTCACTGTCGTGTTTGACATGGCAGAATCTGGCCTCAGCAATATAGTGAGTTTTTAATGATAGTGTTTCAATGAGGTTTGTTTTAATGACATGACAAACTTGCTATTTTTATTTATTTGGAATTGACTAGTCCAAGGTTGTTTTATCACAATCTTTAAGACAATTTAGTAAACATCTTTATTCCTGTGAAGTACTTCTCTCATGTTATACAAGATAAAAATCCCTGCTGTGACTGTCATTGGAATGCTGTTGAGTGTCCTCGTATATCTCGCTGTCTGAGCTGGCATCTCGCCAAGATTCTTGGTTTTACACTTCAGAGATTAAAGTAACCTTTAAATCCTCTTGGTCAATTTCGAGAAGACTGTCTAATCCTCAGACTCACAGTGTCGCAGGCGTTAGCTCCTCGATGCAGCTCTCTGTCAGTGATTGTGCCTCAATGGCTAGGCTCTCTCCTGAAGAAATGGCTCAATTAAATACACAAAAAGAAACACAGGCAGGGCAAAAAAGGGATTAATAGTTATGCAACCTAAATATGAAATACCTTTTGATTAAAAGATCAGTTTGGAAAGCAGCCTTACTGAAGCTTGTTGAACCAATCTGGGAGCAGGAGGGAGGGTAGCCTGTATGATCTCATTAAGACTCCAGGAGTGAGTCTCCTGCATAGAAATTAGGCTTTTAGCCTATTATGGAGCCTAGGCAGGATAAAGAGGGCTGTATCTATTGACTTATCTATCAGCTGTTTGTCTGATGATTGTCATTGACATTTAACATCTAGATGATCAATTGTGTTGAAATAAAAACGGAAATAAGGATTTTGCCCAACAAATTAAGCAAACTATTTCATTGTGTATGTCTTTTTTTTAAATGTGGATCGAATGACGATTCAAATAACTAAGTCTGAGACAGAAACTCTGAACTCCTTCTTTAACTTATTCTTCTACGAATATTTTTACCTTGCAAATATATAGTAGATGAAGGAAGTAGAAATGCATTTAAAGTCATGGTATTATAGAAGAAGAAAAAACTTGGTAAAATATCATCGTCAGGTTTTTTCTTATAAAAGTATTTGCATGGGATTGCGAAGGGAACCATTCCGAGAAGCTTGTGGGGGAAAAAAAATAATAATTTTCTGTAAAGTTGGTCACTCAACTGATCTGTAAGGTGATGAAAAGTGATCAAACATGTAGCTTTTAGCACAGCTTAAGAATCAACACACCCTTTTTTAGTTAAAGTTGAGGACCCCTGTTTGGTTCAGCTTTTATAGTTTTGTCTTTCCTCCCTTTGTGTTTCAGGACATGGACTTTGTGAAGTACATTATCAACTGCTTTAAAGTATATTATCCTAAGTTTTTATGTAAGTAACAAAGTTGTTGTAAATACATCACAAATATAGGTTAACATTCACAAATACAACAGATGTTCAATTCTGTCTTTTTTGTCCAATTTCAGCCAAAATGATCATTGTGGATATGCCTTGGATCATGAATGGTGAGAATGAGCCTCACTCAGCAGACTGAATATGCCTTATTCTTTGTTTATCAGTAGTTCATACAAACTATGACCATGACACTATGATCATAAACACGTCTTTATTTCAGCTGCCTGGAAGATTGTGAAGTCATGGTTGGGTCCTGAGGCAATCAGCAAGCTCAAGTTTGCGTCCAAATCGGAGATTCAGTCCTACATAGACGCAGAATATCTGCCACCTCACATGGGTGGAACGGTAGGTTATGGCTTTCTGCTGTGTTTGGTTCAAAATGTTAATTGTTTTTTTGTTTTAAGTCTGCCAGACAGTTTAAAAGGCTTAAAGTCGGCTGTGTTGGCACTACTTTTCTACCATTTGAACTATGTCAAGTACTGATTTTATTAGAGCTGTACATATTTCCATGTTGGTTCCATCTTCTCAGAAAAAGAAGTTGATCAGGTTCACAGCATAAAATGACCCTGAAATCTAAATTCATCACTTCAGTAAATTATAACCGTTAGTTTATTTTCCTCTGTCATTATATGCATTCGTGGGACTTCTTCAACCCACTGTGACAGCCTTAATTGAAATTGATAACGCATGCGGTGATGTGACTTATCTGACTACATTCCAGGACCCCTTCAAGTACAGCTACCCTCCTCTCCCTGATGACGACTTCCAAACACCCATCTGTGACAACGGACCTATTGTGAGCGAGGACGAGATGGAGAGCAAAGAGGGTGAAATGGAGGGCAAAGATAACCTCGAGTCCAGCTTCAACTCTGAGGTTGCAGTGAAGCCCAAAAAGGTACATTTTCAGTGTTATTTTCCCCCCCTTTTTCTGTTGCCAGGCTTTTCTAAATAAAGAAGATGTCTTTATCCTTGCAGAGAGTTTGATTTTGCTACAAAATGAGGCAGAACCTCTTCTATCAGTTTGCCTGCAGAAAAATATTGGGAGATTTCTATCTGACTTCATATTTAACTGAATGTAAACGATGAAGTGTTCTATTTTTTTAGTAAAATTACTAACAAAAGTAAAACAAATCTACACAACAGGACCAGTGTGTTTG